CATCACGTCAAGGGCATCGTTGGGGTGGCCCGGGGTGGATATGTACAGCTGAGTGTCGTCAGCGTACTGATGGAAATCCACCCCGAAGCCACGGATGATCTCCCCCAGCGGCTTCACATAAATATTGAACAGAAGTGGAGAGAGGACCGACCCCTGTGGGACCCCACAAGTTAGGGGTCTTGGGGTCGACCTCTGTCCTCCTGCCAATACAGACTGCGTACGGTCGGTGAGGAAGGAAGAGAACCACCGCATCACGGTGCCCCCCATTCCCAACCCACCCAGCCGTCGCAGCATGATACATTACATTTATGTAAAAATTAAGTATAATTAAGCATAAATCAAATTTAGTTTTGAGGTTGTCCTATCACTTGTTTTTGGAGTATGGTACACATGCCATTCAAATGCCATGTTGCAGAAAAAAATGTGTTCCATCATGTGTTCTATCACATTCAATACACTGTATAATCAGTTGCATAGCTTTTGCTGCTCAAGTTGGAAAGCAAAATACCGTGATCTCAGCTTTGCATTACTGGAACTAATGGGTCCTAACTTCATTTCCAGGGATATTATCCACTCAGTATTGTCTTTCCCCCAAGCTCTGCTTTTGTGTGTTCAAACTTTCCAAATTACTTAATTGTTTAATAAACTGCAAAGCTGAAATTCATCCTGCATTTAATTTTATTTAGAAGAAACCTTAATTGTGGTCAAATACCGCTATTTATATAAACTAAGTTGTTTTTTTCTTCAGATATATAAATGTAAATTTATATAAATATAATTACTGTATATTTTGCATTATAATGCAGATTACCGAATTACATAGTTAGCAATTCAAAGAAACTCCATTTTTAGATATAGTAAAAAAGTCTGATGTCACCTACATTTGCTGTCTATAGAAAGAAATATGAAAAACATAAGAGCAAATTCAATGCACATATGGAAAAGATAACTTAGAAAAAATATCAGAGATGGAGAATTATTAAATAGGATTATAAATTAATAAAGAACATAGAAAATCTAAAATAAGCATGTACCTGAAAAGTTAGCAACATGGGTACATTCATCCATTACTCCTTTCATAAATCGTAATGATTCCCTTTGTAAACTGTCATTTTTTCCATTTATCAGGTGCTTTTGTTCACTGGAAAAATTAGCACTACTGATGCTGGTTGAAAATGTCTGGTTTATGCACTGCATTTTGGGTACATCTTGCACCAACAATCCTTCTGTTGAGGAGCTTAGATTGTTTCTATTAGGACTAAGGCAGTGGTCCACTTCTGAAGAAGGAACTTCGTTTCCGATATCCAGATGCAGAATACTGGAGTTGAGATCCAGACAACTCAAGTTGTCCACACTGCTTGGAGAATTTTTAACAAAATCTTGTCCCATCTTGAATGAATCTGTCTGAATAGAAATATTTATTAAAGTTGAAGCACTTTGGCATATTTTTCAATGTTCTCTTTTCAATCAAACCTACATCTTGATGTTTTAAAATGTGTAAAAACATATATATATATATATATATATATGAGTTTTCTTGTATTTTAACTGAATACATATCCAAAATATGTATTAAATGGATACTTATTAAATTCCTACTGTATCTTACATTTTTATTTTTAAACAAAACTCAGATTTTTTTAAAAAAAGAAATGAGCATTAATGTTCTCCTATTGTTTCTATTGTTTCTACTTTGTTAAAAACAATTTGCTTTCTATTGTGAATGACCTATCAAAACATATAAACACAAAACAGCACCATAAAATTACTGATAAATTATGATAAATTGTTACTATTCTAATATATATGGAAATGTCCCCACATTGCCAATTCTGTTTGATTATCTCTTAAAATAAACTGAGGAAAAAGAAGTCTTCAGAAGATTAATTTGCTACAGATTAATAGATTGGAGACTCAAGTGTTCTCCCTGCCATATATTATGAGAAATGTTGGTAACTCATATCAGTCATTTAGTTTTTTCTAAACTTATTGACAATAAGTGCTGATACATTTTCAAACACACATCTGTCTACTGAAAGGGATTCATGCGCTGAAAACTTTGTAACTGGATTAACTACTATGCACTGAGTATGGGGTTGCCTTTGCAGATGTTTTGAAAACTGACTGGCACAGAAAGCAGCAATCAGACTACCAGCCAAAGGATTCTCCCTCGCCCCCACGTGCATGGGACAAGGGAAGTGGACTATGTAACCCCATGATAATAGCCAAAATAATTAGTAATTTCTAGTAGCTAAGTATTTTCATATAAGATGGCACTTTTTATACAAATAAATGGAAATAATGTCACTAAATTAGCAAAATCCTTTTTAGGTGCAACTAACTAGTCTGACTAGCACCTGGCACTATGGATTTAAAACCGTTGCAGAATCCCCATGGTCATGTGACCAAAATTTGGGTATTTGACAACTGGCATGTATTTATGAAAGTTGCATTGTCCTCAGGTCATGTGATCACCACCTGTAACTTTTCCAGCCAATTTCCAACAAGCAAAGTCCATGGAGGAAGCCAGACTCATTTAACAACCCTATGATTCATTTAACAATTGCAGTGATTTGTTTAACTGTGACAGAAAAGGTTGTAAAATGGAGCACAACTCATTTAACTATCTTGCTTAGCAAAGGAAATTTTTGGCTCCATTGTGGTTGTAACTTGAGGACTACCTATATTAATAAAAAGTGCAAAACAAACTGTTGAGCTAATCATTCTACACAAATACCACCTAAAGAGCACTGTCTTCATCATTTTATGGAAAGAAACCTGAGACTCCAGGGAGCAAAAAGTTGCAGAAGGAAGACACAATTGCTGAAAATGTCATTCTCTAAATCTCAAACATCCTGATTATCTTCTCTAATATTTCATTAGTATGGGGCCAATCCTGCCTAAAGTTTAAAGAAACCTCTATCGGAAAAGAATTGAGAATTTTCAAGTGGTTTCTCCAATACCATTTTAATGTGCAAATTACTCATTTTAGTATTTATTTTACTAAAGATTTCTCAAAGGTTTAAAAATTTCAATAATGCACACACAAATTACCTTTGGTATAACAGTTCAAATTCTGTTTTCTAATTAGGAATAGAGTTATTTTATAAAAATATATAGACCCTCTTTTCTGACTTTAAAATTTTTAGCTAAACATCTCAAGATATTTTTCAAAGATTAAGAAAAACTACTTGGATGGTTGTTACACATAACTGAAAAATAATTTCACAGAAGACTAATACAAAACATGTGTTATAATAAAGTTTTCTAAAAAGCTTTAACTACTATTGCATTAAAATAGCTTCCAGAAATTGTTGTGGGGTTACAATTACAAAATTAAACAATTATCAGAAATTGTATAGGAGTTACAATTAAATTAATTTATACTCACTCCACAATATTCAAGCATTTGAATTATTTCTTCTTCATAAACACTCTGACTATAATACTGTTTCTCTAGTTCCCTCCAATTCACTGCCTTGCTCAATACACCCTGAAATTAAAGAGAAAGTATGGTGGATTATACAGTATATGCACTGTTTAAGAATCAGTTTTAATTATGCCAGGGTTTTGGTTCAATTTTCATCACTTTGCAAATGTTTTCCTGGATTCAATAACAAAGGAAAGGATCAATAGTTCATATGATTTCCAAGCGACAAATCCATTTTGAAATGAAGTATTTGGGCAGGAATTTTAAACATTTAAATAGATCAGAGCTCTTGTGAAATGGTGTCATAATCACAAGAAAAAGGAACCTATTTCTATGTTACAATTAAAAACATGTTGTAGATTAGTCTTTTTGTCATAACAAAGCACTCTGTTAATATTCAAGGTTTAAACACATGGACCTTATAGATTAGGGATGTGCAAATCCTTTGAAAAAAGGACTCAGCAACACTTAGTAATGTATATATCATGCATCTCTTTGCAACAGTAAAACAGCCTACTTAAAAAAATTGGCTGGGTAGACATGCAATGGAGCCAACTTGTAGCGATTATAAAATACACATTGATTCTAGAAAAAGATATGGTTGCTTTAATACATGGGTGTCAAACTCAATCGCATCACGTGATGTATCATGATGTATTGCAATGTTTTTTGCCTTTGTGGAGCCAGAGTGGGTGTGGCCTGCACGTGTTGCATCCAGCCCAAGGTCCGCCAGTTTGACACCCCTGCTTTAATATTTCAAGGTGAGATGCTTTCAAAGGATTTACATAATTATATACCAACTAAGAATGTATTACCGTAGTAAAAACACCAGAAGCTGTAGACCAGGACAGACAGGGAACTAATGGTAATGGTTTAGGCCAATTTGATACTGCTAATGATGCCATCTGTAAAAAAAAATGGTATTTTTTCCCATGAGTACAAATCAAAACATGAAATGTTTTTCATAAATTGGTATGAAAAATTGCCATATAATTCATTTTTCAATTTCAGCTTCATATCTCATAGAATTTGAACAGCATTGATATTAATGCTTATCAAATAAATGGATGTAGCAATGGATATAGCAGATGCTATCTGAAATTATCTGAAATACAGTACATATTATAAAACTATTGAAGAAAAATATTTGTATTCCTCAAATGTATTAAGCTTTATACTTGCTTTCAAAACATCCTTACTAAATGAGATCCATATGAAAGTTTATATAAAATTACACATGAATAGAATTTCATTTAAATTTAGAACATTGTATAATGCATTTATTCTAGGGATAGTTAGACAATCTGAATAAGGCTATCCCATGTAATGTTCACATCACAGCAAGACAGTTATCACTGGCCAAGTTGAAAGTTTGTGTTTCCCTGACGAAGTCTAATGCTGCATAAATTATATTCACTTTAATATGATTTTTTTAAAAAATATACTAATTATGAATCTATACATCCCATGTCAAACTCTTTTATTTCTTGCAATTACATAAAACAATTGTCATTGCAGGCTTTGATAATATAACTGCAAATGTGCCATAATATATATGTAACTACAAAACCACCTCAGTCCTCACACATTTCTCAATCTGATGTGTTACGATCAGGTTTTAGGTATTATGCTGGATGTTTCCCAGTTAATGTAATATGGCACTAAAGAACATAAGTACTATTAGGAATTAAGTTCCCCTTGAGTGAAGGTCAGCTTCTAATGATTATATATAAACATATGTTACCCTTCCTCTTTTGTTTGTTACAATATAAAAGTGATTTTAAATGGTCTTCTTTTTTGTGATTTTCCAATCTAGCCCATAGTCTGGAATTTCCAAGTAATCTCCATTCCAGTATCACTGGTAACTGGATCTGACTTTTTAGTGATCAGACAAGTTCAACTGGGTTGCTAGCATCTGCTTCAATTACATTATTATTAATTAAAGATTTAAGCTTACGTGTCCTCCCATTGATATGCCAGTCATTCCTAGAGGTCCATATCCTTCTTTTTCCAGCCAATGCAAAAGAGTTGCTGATTCTAATACAAGAGCTCCTCCCATCACAAATAGGTCAGATACATTTTTTAGACAGGATCTTCTTTCCTCCCAAGGAAAGAAAAGCAAGCTTACTTGTTTGAAGAAATATATTAACAGTAAGTTCAAGTGTATTAATTTATTTTATTAAAACAGATTAAAAGACAGTGTGTTAAAAATGCTTATAGAAAGTTAGGGTTTAGTGACTATGGTTTATTCAGATGAATAACCCAAGAATAACCCAAGAACTGTCCTTTTAAATGCTGCTGTGAAATACCCATAGATTGTTATCTGTTTTTTTACTCACACATGGAAAAGGGGGATCAGTTAAAGCAATAATCTAGAGAAAGCCATTTAAACTAAACTAAATCTCAAAACAGTAATATAATTGTTATTGATGGACAATAAAAATGTGTTTTCTTCATTTAGATAAAGAAAGAACATACTGTATTGACTTAGGAGTTGTACATGCCAAAAGAAAACACTGTGGACTTTAACCACATATAAGCCATATAGTATTAATGTACTACACTTTTGAACTTTTGTCATGTTTTCACAGGTAAATTACTCTCTTTTCTAAGCAACAGTATAGCATGTTTGTTTTCTATAGGAACAATAAGTTTAACTGTACCTCTTCTAGGTTCTAACAGTGGATAGATCTGGTGTCTGAACAAAATCCAGCATTGTAGAGGAAAGCACAGAAATAATAATTCTTGCAGATCTGTTTATAAACTGATTATTTTTGAACTTCTCTAAGTTACCAGTTTATTCAGAGGAACAGAAAGGAAATCACATCAAGAACATTCATTTTTAATGTTTACTGTGAAATATAGTACCATACATTTGAATCATGTAATATTCAGTTGCTGATAATAATAAATTTAGGACAATATATTAAAGCAGAATCAATGTCTGTGATACTGGAGCACAGCTAGGATCTGAAGAATCACAGATTAAATATTCTGGCAGAAAATACTCAAAGTTAAAATGTTTCCCTAAATCATCTCATTGTCAAGCTTCAATAATGTGTCGTCAGTGAATGGATGAATTGCAATATTTGCATTATGTATTATAATGTTCTGAAATGTTTTTCCGTAACATGATCACATTTTATGCACTAGAATTAAAGTTATTTCTACACATTAATAAAAGCTGTTATTATGCTTATGCTTATGCAATCATAATACTTACAACTGATCCTTAGGTTTTCTGTACCCATGTATAGACAGATGTAAGTTAAAGGAAATAAAGTGAAATATTTTGAAAAGTTCTTTAACCTTTTACCTCTTTACTTTAAATCAAATAAACCCCTTGTTAAAATAGTTAAAGTACATTTAGTTAATGCAGCCATTGCTAACTCATTAAACTAGAATCGTTTAATTTCCTAAATTTACAAATTTAAAAAATGGAAGTGTGGGGATTTACCATAAGGGTGGACTGCAAAATGTCAATATAAGACTCCCAAACTCCAGATGATTACTATAGCCTGGGGTGATTCAGTGAATTTACAAACCACTTATCTATTTCAGAATCAAATAGATTTATGTTTTACACATTTTGATGCAATTCTCCTATTAATATATTGATATCTGAATTCAATAAGTTACTAGATAACACTTTCTCTCTCCTCTGTATCCAAAGGTATACAGTACTCAAATAAAAAGGATATAATAGGGGTTTTCTAACAATAATGAAGCCATGCTGGCCTCTTTGATCATTGGACGGGCCATTAAAGTTCGTCGTCTCCAAAAGTACTAAAAATACACAGTTAAATAAAGTTAAATTAAATATTACCAGTATAGCAATATTGAGAAACCATTATTGAACCACACTGAAGCTTACATGATCTCCAGTGCCTGCTAAATGAATACAAACAGGTTTGTACTTGCTGTTCCATCTCTTTGGTACTATAAATTGAAACCTATCAAAAGAAAGAAAATAATGAAAAAGTATTTAAATGAAATAGAGAGTTCTCATATACCTTGCACAATATGTGTGCATTTGTATCACTTTATCACTATATTTAGTCCATAACTTACTTAGTTCTATATTTTTTTAAGTCACAGTATATGTTTATTTTTACCTTGCAGTAATTGACTCTGATGGCATGATATCAGGAACATAATGTGCCAAAGGAGAAATGAAGTGTCCATCAAGGATCTTGCAGTCTGATTGCTCCTCAACCTATACAGCATTATATTTTTACAGTCACTATCAAAGTTTTCATACAGAAATGCAAGTTCTGCTAAACAGAAGTAAACTGTTCACAAAAGGTATGCTGAGTTAATAACTGGACAATGTATATCTTATCAAATACAAGGTTTCTTTTTATCAACCCTCAATACTTCTGTTTTGAATAAATGGTTGTGAATAATCATAATCAATTTATGTATATTGATTCATTTTCAGTACCTTATTAATGTGCACAGGATAGTCCCTTGGAACAAGATTTTGACATTTTTCTCTGTTTCCAATAATCTTTCTGAATTCAAATATTCTGTTAAAAATAAGAATTAGTTGCAGATATTAAGAACAAAAAGAGACTGCATACTGTACTATAAACATGTAATTACAACAGTATGTAATTGACTGTAACAGGTCTAGTATTTCTATTTCACACACACACACACACTGTTTCTTTTAATGAACTCTATCATAGGAACTTTGCCAATTTTCACATTTTTGCTCAACTATAAGCTATTGTCCTTACAAATAATATATTTGCACCGTTTGCCTTAACCAAGAGTAACAAAAATGATTTAGATGGAAAGATCAAATATTTACCTTTAGAAAACTGTTTATAACCTACCTTTTTAAGTCTTCTGGTCTTCCCCATCCTTGAATAAAAAGCTTAGTGAGAAGCAGACGCCTATATAAGACATCTAGCTTGCTCACACCCATTAGCAAAACACATCTAGGAAAAAAATATAAATATTCATATCAATAAAAGTATATTGATTTGTTTACACGAACTGAAACTGTATACACTGTCAACAAAAAAAGTTAATAGCAAATAAACTAAAACTTATATATGCAAGAAAGCATTGAATCAGTTTTGGGAAGCTGTCAAAGAGACTAAACCCTCATGGGATACCATTAGTTCTAAAACTGCTTTAGGCAAGGGAGCCACCTGGGTGACTGACCAATCACACCTTTTCAATCCCAGGAAGAAGGAATTGGCAAACCATTTCCAAAAATGTTGCCAAAATAGAAGGGACTTGATGCTCTTATTCACAATAAGAGTTACTCATGAAGTATGGTAATAATAACAATAGAAGAAAGGAATTAGGCAGCAGAATTTAAAAGCATTTATACTTAGTGATCTTTTGACTACCCACCTTTTTGCAGTTACAGTATAAAAACAAATGTTCAATTAAAAATGAATCACCCTAAGCCAATATACAGCTCTACCTGTTCAGCAAATGGGAATAAACTTTAATTCACATAATGGTTTAATCATGCGGAGTAGGATTATAGGGTCTCCAGCTTGAGCAGAAGGTTGGACAAGAAGATCTTCAAGATCCCTTCTAACTCTGTTATTCTGAATATATAAAAGCAACTTTAAACATATTTAAATGTTACTGAGTTCTTTATCTTGTGCTTGCCTGATTACTTGCAGTGCTTGTAAGGAAAGTATTTGTAACTTTCTTGGTTGATGCTCTTCATGTATAAGGCACTATTACATTGAAGTAGTACAGAACAATATTATATTGAAAAAACAATATAGATAAGAATGATTTATACTGTCATAACCAGTTTGACAACCACTATATAAATAATACAGCCTCAATAATCCTATACTGAGGTAGTAATTCAATTAAAAAAACCAATGGCAAGTGAGGAATACATTGTAACAACCTTGAAAACAATGTGATAAACAACGTTATTTAAAACAGGGAGAAATAAAGATCCTTATTTTTCTATAGAAAAAATACATATCCAAACATTTGTATTGCAAGGTTCTCAGATAGTAGCTGATATGATTTATATAATCATATTTTTGCTCCTACCTGTCAATTTTGGTAGTTCAATCCCATTAAGTCTCTTCATTGTATCTGTTGGTTCAAATAATGAGAAAAAATCCAAATGTTGCTCAGTGTATAACTCAGTAAATGAGACATTATGCTATCTAAGTAATATCAATTAGACATTCTCGGAGAAAATCTTGCAATTTTTTAGATTTATATGTGATATAAGAACTATTATGTTACTTTTTAAAACGATTTCAAGCAAACTTAGGTGGCCTGTTTGAGTAGCATTAAAATGATCTTAGCTAATTCATTTATGATAATACTATCATTACTTTGTTCAAATGTAGTTCCAATAGGCAAAAACAAAACTCTGTGCAGTATACAGAAACAGAGGTGCCAACCTGCCCTGTCCGTACCTCATCAACCAAATCACCAGCAGACTTTGGCAAGCGCCAATACCGCAAGGGTTCAAATCCATGAATCATCACATTATAGCGCACAATCCACCCCAACTCCCTCCCCACAATTTCATGGCACGTGATAGGCCCATTCACAAGTCAACGTACAGGACTGCAAAATCTAACTCACAAAAAAGCACAGCAGAGATTTGCCGTACAATTCAACAAGCGTCTAAAAATTAGTTTGGCCCGTTTGCAGTCCACTCTTTTCCTCCAGAAGGCTCGGGAACTAGAATATCATCCTGGAAATAGCTTTCCTTCTATATAAAAACCCGCCCTGTCGTTTATTCGCTGTTTACTTTTTGACATCAGAGGTCACCGCAACTGACTCCTCTATTTCCCACAATCACGACTTTAAGAGACCCGCAACCCCAGAAAGAGTCAGACGGCATGCCACTCGCCTTCGGAAAAAAGATTTGAACCTACGGGAACACCAGGAGAATTGCCGAGCAGCACTTTTCGGTAATGCCCTTGCTCGGGACTCTTCCTCCCTTGCTACCTAGTTTCAGCAGCCAGGCGGCCAAAGCCCCCCACTTCAACGTCGCTCTCGACTGAATGAAAAGGGGTGGAGAAACACGCCGAAGGTCGCCGCTTCCCGTTTGTTCCCCGCTCTCGCGAGAAGCGCCACAGCCGCAACGGCGGTTTTAAAAAACCAGGGGCGAGAGGGCGGCTGCCGACTCTACCAATGGCTCGCCCGGCACGTGATCGGAATTGTCCCCGCCCCCTTCTCGCTTTTCAGTAGTCTACGTGCGACCGTCCTATGTAGTTGCGTGGACTCGTTTTGTTGTGTTCGCTGTTTGGTCACGTGATAGTCGCCCCTCGCCTCGCCCCGCAAGAAAGCCGAGGCGAGGCTCTGGGTGCTTCCTCGCCTTCTGTTTCTCGTCAGAGGGAGCGCGTAGGGGTGGCTCTCGCGGATGTGTCAGGTTGAAGCTCCGAGGCTTGGAAGTCGGCCATGGCTGCTGCTGTTCTGGAGCCCGCAAGCGAGGACTGGGAGCAGCCTCTTTTGAACGGAGGTGGAGATGACAGGTGCCTAGGGGCGACGACTCCACTTGGGTCTTCTTTGGTAGGGGCGCATCCCCTTGGACTCCAGAAGCGATGGAGTCAAAATCCTCTGTATCGCAACTCAAAGTTGTCTCACGCTGAAGATGCTGGGAATTGTAATATTAACTGCTGTGCAGCTTCCTCGTAAGCTGCGCTCCTTGGCGTGTAAGAAGGAGAAGCCTATAATAATCGGGGGGTAGTGAAATTAGCTTTGAAACTCAGTTTACAACACGCGTTACAAAATAGCGAAATGAATATAAGAAACCAATGCAACTGATGGTGATATCCTATCGGTGTTAAAATCTGCGATACGTCATGTATTTGTATTTATGTATAATGTATTTTATTAGTGTATATCAGAGATTGCATGACATCTGTAGATGGCCTAGGCCAGGGGTAGGCAACCTCGGCTCTTTTATGACTCATGGACTTCAACTCCCAGAATTCCTGAGTCAGCTATGCTGACTCAGGAATTCTGGGAGTTGAAGTCCATGAGTCATAAAAGAGCCGAGGTTGCCTACCCCTGGCCTAGGCTAAATAAATACATCTGTGTTAAAAATCTTAATAGATTTTTGACCTACAGTCTGTTGCATTGTTAATAAAATATGTACGAAGGCCAGGTTTGTTTATTAAGGCACAGAAGGTATTTTTGCATATTTTATGGGCACGATGGGGCTGTGTACTTTAAACAGACATTTTAATTGTTTTTTTTAATGTTCCAGGTCTCTTGAGTTTTTTGAATATCATATGACAAGGGTCTCTAACTTAGGCAACTTTAAGACTTGTGGACTTCAACTCCCAGAATTGCTGGGAGTCTTAAAGTTGCCAAGGTTGGAGACCTCTGCCGTATGGTAATGTTGAATAATGATTTTTATGGTGTTTATTGCATAGCATTGATTTGATTTGATTTTGATTTTGATTTTATTAAATTTATATCCCGCCCTTCTCCCGGAGGACTCAGGGCGGCTTACAGCCAGTTTAAAACAATGATATAATACAATACAAAATTTAAAAAGATTAAAAATAACTATTTAAATTTGGCCGCTTCTACTAAAAATTTAATTTAAAATGTGTACTAAAGTATACATGTGTACTAAAGTATACATGTGTACTAAAGTATACATTAATTTAAAATGTGTACTAAAGTATACATTTTTTTATTTTTGTTTCCCTGGAGGGAAATCTGATTAATCTTATGGAATAAGACTAGTGTGGCACCTTAAATTACTGACAGTCCTCCTGTGACCCTTACCTTCTTAAAACACAGTATTGTAGATGCTGTCTGTCCAATGGAAAATAGAGAGGAGTTATGACTCCTGATCTTGCAATTACTTTTGTGTATCCAGCCTGTATATATTTATGTTTAATAAGTTTATATAGCCACCCAGCATACAAATTGTGACTGGGTCATCATCTTGTTTCATACAGAGAATTCTTGCATGCTGATATTTTTGCCCTGGCCTACATCAAAGGGTTGACATCAATGTTAAAAGTTTCTTCGATTTCTTTATTTCCTTGTGACAATGTTATTGCCTGCTCCCTCCTCAATACCCACATTCTTCCTCCAGGTCAAAAGACCCTGTATCATGTCCGGATAATATAACCAGTTTTCTGTACTGCATCTGCCCAGCATTCAGTGCCCTAGTCCCAGATACCCAGGTTCTTTCCCTCTCCAAATCATACAAACATCATACAAAACTGACAGCTCACTTTGTTCTCAGTTGGGATAGCTGGAGGTCTAAATATGACTGGGGAGAGGAGCTGACATCTACATTCCAATCAACACTATCTTCTAAACATTTGCTGTATCATCTTTAAATCTCTTTATGCATAAAGTGCTGTCCGGTTTGATCCCCCATATCTTATGCTCATGTCTTTGATATTTTCTACCCAAATTTAAGATTTAGCATTGAAATACATTCTGATATCAGATTTGTGTCCATTTCATGCTTAGCAATTGTTGAATCTGATTATTGTAAAATAGAACAGAGCATTGCCAACACATGAGACATGCATCAGAGAATGATTTTGATCATACCAAGATAGGAATAAATGACTAAATGTAAATATAGTAACATATAGTCTTAACACTTCTTGAGTTAGAATTTGTTAAAGAATGATGAGCATTTGATATGTTAATATTAATCTCATTAATATTACAACATTGTTTGTTACAGATCTAAGGATGTTATGGAAACATTGCAACATTACAGGAGCCGGTGGAGATCCATTCGAATAATGTATCTTACAATGTTCTTCAGCAGTGTTGGTTTGTAAAATTTGCTAACCAGTCATCAGTTTTTTTAATATAATGCTGTTACTGTTATTTCATTGGTAATTAATTAAAATATTGTGTAGAAATTCCTTATATAGCAAAGTGTTTTATTTAATCTTTTTGGCTCATTTGTAAATTAAACGTACTCTGTAATTTATGTAGGATTTAACAAAAACAAAATACTAGACTATAGCATTATAAACTAGCACCAATGGAAGAACAACTGTCGCAATAAGCAAACTCAGGAACTTGTTCATAAATTTATAGGGACCAGATGGAATTAAGCCTGGCTGACGCAAATGCTTGCCACCAGAATCAATAGCATGGTTCTATTTCCAATATGTTCTGTGGCCATCATTAGGGTAACTATGGTAAAAAATGGCCAGTGTTCATAAATTGTCTATGTAGTTGCCTTGACTTTTCCTTAATATTGTGGTTTGTGGTAAAATGGTACAAAGTATTTTCTAGGTTTCTGGATCATCTTGTATAACATGATAAATAATGAAGGCTTGCTCATTAAAAGAAACTGAAGAATGTATACAATACATTAAAGAGTTTTCACACTGTTACAGTTCCATGTAAGCAATTCCACATATGCACCTACCATTGACTGAATTTCTCTTTCTTGAAGGTAGATATTTTAGGATGATATATATTCTCTTCTGTAGTTAAACTATATAATCAAGTATCATTGGATAACCTATAGCTTAGCTGTAGATAGTTTAATTTTCTTAGAAATATCATTAAAGTTTGCAAGACAAGGTTAAACATTATATCTAAAATTATTTGGAATTTTTGACCTTTTCTTTTTCCAAAATAACATAACTCCCTGTTTTTTGTAAAGAATTTTGTATTTTTATTTCTTTGAATATGGTCAAAATAGATGACAAAAAAGTACTAGAGAAAAATAACTAAAGTACTTTATGTTGCAGGTTTCTCTATTGTCATTATGTCAATATGGCCCTATCTTCAACAGGTTTGTAAATCACATAAATTTTTATTTCCATGATGTTAACTTAGGTATCTGAGAGCTGTAGTGGTATGATGTCATGATTAAGGCACCAAGCTAGAAACTAGGATACTGTGAGTTTTAGTCTTGCTCTCAGCACAAAAAAAAGCTGAAGGAGGCATTGCTAAACCATTTCAAAAAATATTGCCAAGAAAATTGCAGAGATTTGTCCAGGCTTTTACCAGGAATCAACACTGATTTGAATTACCAAATAACAATAAAGTAATAGTATGAGTTCATTCAGCCAAAATGAAAGATAAGTATTTACAATACTTAAAATACCAAAGATCATTATATTTAACTTTGGTGTTTTTGTGGGAAGCATGGAAAAATAATTTGCAGTGTCCAAATTGCTGCTTTCTATTTCAAATATTGGGATCACTGCACACCTACTGGTGGAAACTTATAAAAGACTTTATGAGTTTTTGCCGCTGGATTGTAAAAAGCAGTCTTTATTAATATTAGGATTCCATATTTAAAGGCCTTCAAATTTACATAAAATTCACTATTTCAGTCTGACTTTCATGATAGTTGTTTTAGTATACTTAATCTATTTTGTTTTAGTGTATATAAAATTAAATTTCCCTGAGCTGGGAAAGATAGTATAGAAATAAAGTAATATTTTAATAATGGAAATGTAAATTCCCCTATTTTTCCCCTCTACTAATGAAATAGTTTTGAGGGGAATGAACTGCAATTATTTCATGGTCTTACATAGTGATTTATGGTTCTGATTTGATTTTTTAAAAAAAATCCAGATTATGGAGGGAGAATTGTATGCTGCTTAGAGTTATTACAATGGCCTGTAGGCCTTATCAATAAAATCTTTTTGTTCAAAGATTACTTTATTTTACATAATATACAGATAGTCCTTGACTTACGACCACAATTGAGCCCAAAATTTATGTTGGTAAGTGAGACAGTTAAGTGAGTTGTGCCCCATTTTATGACCTTTCTTGGCACAGTTGTTAAATGAATCACTGCAATTGTTAAGTTAGTAACACAGTTATTAAGTGAATCAGTCTTCCCCATTGATTTTGCTTGTCAGAAGGTTGCAAAAGGTGATCACATGACCTCCATACACTACAACCATCATAAATATTTTCTGGGGAAATATAAGATGGTAAGACATAGGAGAGCTTAGGTTTTAGTGTAATGGTGTAATCAGTTGAGTTACATACAATTAAAGTAGGACCAGCATCATAATTTTGCAGAGATTCATTTTATGGAAAAGAAGAACAGCTATAATAAAAAAAACATATTGAAGTGCAACAGTTTAGATGTTTTGACTAGGATTTGGAGGACCAGGCTCAAGTCCTCTGTCAGTTATGGAAGCTCATTGGGTGACTTTGAGCCAATCAATATCATCACCCAAACCTATTCTAGAGAATTGGTGTTTTGATTGCCATTTTTAACTTCTGGAGAAAATGATGTTTATAAGTAATAAAAAGAGGAAAGTGCATGATGCCAACCCCCTCAAAATATTTGTCATGGATTCTTTTCAAACTCTGTACCAGCCACCTAATAATATATAAATTATTCAGTTACCACTCATTTACAATTTGGAATGTGTATTCTTATCTCTTTATAGTGATACTGCTAAAAATACTATTTTTGTGACTATCATAATGTGGAAGGATAGTGCTTCATAGACTAGTTTTAAATTTAAACTTCAGTCTGTTTCCATGCTAGTTTAACAGTGTTATTCTATAAGTTATTAATAAACTTAATTCACTAACTAATAGTCTGCCAGATTTAATATATAAATGCTGTGTTCTCTAATTTAACCTTGTAATTAAAAATGTTCTCTTCGCTAACATTTACCTATGTTTTAGTAGCATGACAATATCTGTTAGAATTGAATATTTTAATTACGGTGTCCTACTGATAAATAAAATATTGTTGAAATTATATTTATGGTTTCCATAGATAGATAAAACTGCGGATCCAAGCTTTCTGGGCTGGATTATTGCTTCGTACAGCATTGGTCAGATGATAGCTTCTCCATTCTTTGGAATGTGGTCTAATTGTAGGCCAAGAAGAGAACCCCTTGTGGTTTCAACTACTATTTCAATAGCTGCCAATTTCCTCTATGCTTATGTCCATTTGCCCCCTTCACACAACAAATACTACATGCTAGCTGCTCGAGCATTGGTGGGATTTGGTGCAGGTAATTTTAGAAATATTTAAAGTTTGCTATATTAGTAGCTATGTGTATTTAAGGCAACTCAGCTATTTGTTAGAGAAATCAAAATCTCAGGCCCTTGAGATCCCTTCTACCCCAACAAGTTGGCACTCAGAACCTCTTGAGTAAATGTATAATCCTGCTGATTGTCTCAACATATAGATCAGTGGTTCTCAACCTGTGGGTCGGGACCCCATTTGGGGTCGATCGACCATTTCACGGGGTTGCCAAGCAAGGCTGTCCGCCATTTTTTTTGTCCGCCATTTTTTCCTTTTCCGGCGGGTGCCTTGCTCCGTCTCTGCCGCTTGCCAGCTACGCCTCGGCCGGCGCAGGGGGCGGAACCACGCATGCGCAGCGCTCCCGGGCAGGGAAAGTCCTCGACTTATGACCGGTTGGGTAGTCCTCGACTTACGACCGGTTTAGTCCTCGACTTACGACTGGTTTAGTCCTCGACTTACGACCGGTTGGGGTCGCGGCATTAAAAAGGTTGAGAACCACTGATATAGATTGAAAGGTTTTCCCAGAATCCTACTTACTAATGTTTGTGCCATGGCTTTCTGTAGGATTAGAGAGTCTCCTAAGTTGTTACCCCAAAGTGCAGTATTCTAAGTAATAGATTCATCAGAGTAATAAAGATTCCCTGAGACATCAGTCTAAAAGTACTACTCATATTAGTTTTAGGATTTTTCTTATATGAAAAAAATTGCAAAGAACTTGCTGTAGTTGCTTCAAGGTAATTTACTCAGATTTCACACCTGAGTGATGCTATGAAATAATTATTCCTGATTAGTTTCGAGTTTCTAAAAGATTTTCTCAAGCTCATTGATATTTTTGATTACTGTAATTGTTTTCAAGATAAAGATCCTTTAGCATTTTTGTTATTAATTTCTGTAGTGATGAGATCTCTTAAAAATAGATTTGCTGAGCAGACAAAAGACCAAGATTTTGCTTACTATACTGTTGGCCTTTTAGCTAGCTTACGCATATGATTAAAAACATATATGTTTTTTAGGTTTTCCAGATAAACACTCTTTTGTTTTGTTTTAGGAAATGTAGCAGTAGTTCGCTCATATATTGCTGGTGCCACCTCTCTTACTGAAAGAACTAATGCCATGGCAAACACTAGTGCTTGCCAGGCAGTGGGATTCATACTGGGACCAGGTACAATTTGCATTGTATTCCCATTTTCTTCAAGTGATTCATTAATCAGTTCAGGAGGAAAATGCTCTCCCATTTCTTAATCTATGTGTACATATTTAAACTTTAATTTACTATATAAAATATAATAATAGTACTATACTATATGTTCCCAATTTGACAGACTCCAATTTTCATTTAGTTTTTTTTACAGACAGTTTATTGATATAATCTAAAGCAGTGCATGTCAAGGAAAAATATTCATACAACTACTAAAAGAATTATGTAATTATTTGGTATTTTAATCGCAAGTGAACACTTTAACAATTGATTTTTCATTTACTTAATGCATTAGGTTTTTAGCTGCTGCAATAAAATTTCTATATTTTTTATAATTAACATCAGGCATACATGCTGTTAAAATCCAATTGTATAAACTTATATTTTCTATTAGTTTTTCAGACTCTCTTTTCACTTATTGGAGAAGAAGGAATCTTGTGGAAACTGATTTATCTTCAGGTGAACATGTACACAGCTCCAGTTTTATTTGGAAGTGTTCTAGGAATTATTAATATCGTACTGATAATTGCTGTATTTAGGTAATTGGAAATTTAAAAACTTGTGAATGTTTATAAGAAAGGTCTTTCAATTTGTGCATAAAAATCTCTATTCTTCTTAGTCCACATAGTTTTTTTTAGTTTATGAATCAAGAAAAAGAAAGAAAAGAGTAATTTGTGGGTTTTGTAGTTGTTTTTAATATTTCTCAATCAACAATTGCAGTATATCTTAGTTTGAAGTTACTAAATCTCATCACTGAGCATAATTTCTATAAAATAACATATAAGTGCTTCTTTTCTATTTTCAAGTTATTTGTATAGATTATTTATAAGACTTCATCCAAAAACAAGATTCGTTGCATAATTGAATTAACAAAGAATTGTGCCAAATAACATTGTTTCAACACAAAACTATCAATTATATTGAAAGTTTCTTTGATATATTCAATTATTGTTTCACACAATCTCTTAATTTTTAGAGAGCATCATGTGGATGACATGGGACAACCACAAAATAGTATTAATACTGAAACTGAAGGTAATTTGAAATATGTTTTAATATACTTGCTAGTATAGTTAGAAATAGTGTCAAATAACTGTGTGAAGGATGTAGGTGATAGCTTTTGGGATAAATGTTTTGTCTCTAAGAGCAACTACCTACAAATTCAAATCAAATTTATTAGATTTGATGGTTCACAAGCAAGCACTAATAATTGCAACTGGTCATGAATAGAAATATATCTGTAGTGAGTATGAATGTTATTACAGTGCAACTTCTAGATAAATACTAATGTCTAATTGTATACTAAGATTCTACTGGAAAATATGAAGGCATCTTAAAGTACCAAATTCTAAAGAGAAATTTAAAAGTAATGAGCATGCTGCCAAAGGTGACCAATGTACTGGATTTTCTAGACCCCTCTAGATTCTTAATGAAAGAAAAATATTTCTGACCAGTTTGGAAATAATTATTTATGAGATTTGTTTGCTGTCCATATTACTTTGGAGCAACTCTGGATGGCTTACACATTAAAAGCCAGTAAAACCAGGAAAATAAGTATTTATAATAATAAAAATTACAATTCAGAGATGGAAAGAAAGGAAATAGGATAAGCAGGGGGGAAGATGGGGTCTTCTCTTAATCCATCAACCAACTCCATCATGATACACCCTCAATGGGGCCCCAGGCCAACTGGCAGAACCAGGTTTTAAGGCCATTATGGAAGATCAGCAGCCTGGGAGTGGATCTCACCTGGAGAGGGGGCAAGATATTCCAAAGGGCAGGTGCCATGACAGAAAAGGCTCTTTTTCAAGACCCCGCCAATTCTTTGACTGATGAGACCTGCAGCATGTCTCTTCTGCCAGCATGGGTGAAGTGGGCCAATCCCATTGGGATGAGATGGTTCCTCAGATAACCTGTACCCATGCTATGCAGGACTTTAAAGATGATAACCAACATTTTGAATTGCACCTGGAGGCAAACCGGCAGCTAGTGCAGTTCATGTGACAGCAGTGTAACATGGGCCACTCTAGGGGCCCCAAGAATTGCCCACACCGCCACACTCTGTACCAGTTGTAGCTTCTGAATGCTCTTCAAAGGTAGCCCTATGTAGAGCACATTGCAATAGTTTAAGCATGAGATGACCAGGGCTTGAGAGATTGAGCACAGGGACTCCTGATCCAAGAAAGGGTGCAACTAGTGCACAACACAAAGTTGTGTAAAGGCCCTTCTAGCCATGACTGCTATCTGCACTTCGAGCAGAAGTTATAAGACCAGGAGAACTATCACTGTTCAGGCAACAAAACAAAACAAGTGTTAGGTCTGCAATTATATTCCTCCCGACATCATCACTTTCCAGATTAGGAAACTTCTGGAATTGGTTGAACCATAGGTTCTAATGTCACGTACATCACAAACTTGTTTATCAAGTTCCAGATATCTTCTGCTATGGTAATCGGAGGAGAGAATGTATAGCCTGAATTTTATTGGTCATGTTAAGGTGATTAACAAGATTCATGAACTCTGATATTTTGCTCTTTTTTCATGCAAGTATTGCAATAAATTGGAAAGCTACAGTTAACCATAATTCTAATGTGCATGCTAAATTCTTCCCTGCATAGACATTATCAGCTGTAGTACCATGTTCTAATGAAATGGAAAATTATACTTAGCTATAGCTTCCTGTCTTGTTCTGCCATTAAAAGGGAGATAAAGGCGCTGCATGTTCTTTATGTCCATAAATCTTATGCATATTGCATAAACTAAGATTTTCTCAAATTAAAATAATTGCATCTATAGCAATGCTATGTAGATCTTTATTTTATCAGTTACCTTTTTTTCAAATACAGAAAATAATGACGTGGTTCAAGATAATCAGCAATACATTGACCATGTGGCTGTTGTATCAACAAACTTTCTTTTCTTTATTATCCTATTTATTTTTGCAGTTTTTGAAACGTAAGTATTATTTTTTTGTATCTGTTTTTTAAAAATAATATTTCTTGCATTTCCTCATAATTTTATGAATAAAGTCTGCTGTGACATTTCCTACAATACCTTTTTCTTACCACCATAATAGATTTAATACATCCAGACATACATAAACTATCACTATCAGCCATCCTACTTGGGGTGTTATTTATTTATACCTCACCTTTAATTATTTTTTACAAATAACTCAAAGCATTGAACATATCCAACACACCTTTCTCCTATTTTCCCCATAAGAATCCTGTCAGGTGAGTCACCCAACTGGCTGTCTTGGCTAAGGTGGAACTTGAACTCATGGTTTTCTGATTTCTAGCCTGGTGCCCTTAACCACTAGACCAAACAGGCTCTCCCTTTACCTTCCAAAGTTTCATTCATATTTTATAGTTCTACAACAGCATACTATATATATATATATATAGGAACTTCAATTTATATTATGATTATCTGACATTGGAAGATTTTCTTCTGAAGAAAATGAAAGGTTTGTGTTTACATGCAGAGTTAGAGAAACAAAAAATGCCTTGGAGTGAAAAAATGCCTTAAAGTGTGAAGATATGTGTAATTAGATTAATGTTATGTTCAGAAGTTGAGTTTTTAAGAGAAATTTTCACAGGAGGATAACATGCATTATCAGGGAAAAATTTATCAAGCGTATACTTTAGAAAATAATTTATAGCCTAATTGGATAAAGTAATATTGTTCTAGCTGTAAATATAGAAATTGCACGTCTCTTATAAAATCATATCAGATGTTTGTTATGTAATTATATAATTCATACATATTCAAATATATTGTCATACATTTCTAATTAGTATAATTTTTTCTTCACATAGTTTTATGGGAATATATAAATTTTCTTGCTATTTGCTACTTTTTCTTCACATACTATATTTTTTGTGAAATATTAACCATTTCCTTCTCAGTGTTCTGGCCATAATTTTATTATAAAAACTTATTAATTTACATTTTAGTCTTTAAAAAATTTCAAAAGGCCTAAAGTATCTTTAACTTTTGAATTTGAAACATTTCTATTTGAAGCACTTGTTTTTTTGTATTATGCTATTGGTACAAATGCTTCATGGGGTTTTTATTCAGTTTCAAAGTTGTTAGTTACAATTAGATAGTTGGTGAACACTGAAATTCAGAAAGTTCTCTACTATATTTAATTTGTCTTTTATTGTATTCTTTAGCATAGCCACACCATTAACAATGGATATGTATGCATGGACCAGAAAAAAAGCAGTGTTTATCAATGGCTTAATTCTTGGTGCTGTTGGCGTCGAATCAGTGGTTGTGTTTTTAGCAGTTAAAGAACTTTCTAAAAGGTAATACGTTCAAGTTATATTGTTTCAGTATAATTTTTATTTTCAGAAAAATCTTATTTCTAAGTTCTAGAATACAAATGGCTATGTGTAAATGCATTTCTCCTGTAGTGATCAATTTATGCACTATCGTTGATACTTAAATCATTACCTTGAAACATTTATTATACTATTAAGAACAAAGGACTCAGGCTTTGAATATGGAAAATTTTACTTGGATAAAATATGGGTATTGTAATTTTAGTTTTCATTATTCAACAGAATTGGTGAACGTGCAATCCTCTATGGAGGTCTAGTCATTATCTTGGTTGGATTCTTTATTCTGTTACCTTGGGGAAATCAGTTACCTAAAATCCAATGGGCAGGTATAAATTTAAATGTTTGCATTATTATTTTAAGGTCTTTGATGAATACATTTGGCCATATATGGTATTTTATTTGTATGTTTTCAGACATAAGGAATAATTCTACTCCAAGAAAGATCTTTGGTGAAACTTTTGCATTTTTGTGGATGTCAGAGATTGAATTTTCATCTAATAATACAACTGAAGCAACAGGATGTCCTAGTATACAATTGTGGTGCAGTTATACTCCCGTAATTCATCTGGGCCAGTATATTACTTCCGACATTCTAATAGGATTGGGTTATCCAGCTTGTAATGTGATGTCATATACTCTATATTCAAAAATTTTAGGACCAAAACCTCAGGTAAGATTTATATTTAGGCTGATACTTTTTTTAACTGGTTTAACAGTTTTGGAAAATAGGTTACCAAGTGGTAGATTACTGAGTTTGGAACTATTTTTTTTGTCATGCTTTGGTTAAGCAATAAAACTACATAACATCAGTATATTTTATCATCTAGCTTACATGATCTGGTGCAATACCGCTATGAATTGCTTCCTGTAATAGTTTTATTTCATCAAAGAAGTTCCTTTTTTATCCCTTCAGATTTCAATTTTTTTAAAAATAAAGCTGAGCTACTTAATGTTTTGTGTATGAAGGACAATGAGATTTTTTGGGACAGCAACCATTTTACTAAAAGCTATTATTGTTATCCTATCGGGACTTGGCTCTTCCATCCGGGCAGAAGGTCCCTTCCAACTTTATTATTATTATTATTATTATTATTATTATTATTATTATTATTATTATTATTATTATTAATAATAATAATAATAATAATAATAATAATAATAATTAATATGCTACAATCTACTTTAAATTTTGTAGTTCCTTACTGGTTGTTTCATAGTTTGTTCTTTTAATATTATACTATTTTTAACTTAACTTATATGTCACCTCGAGTTGCTTGACAATCAGGCCAACTCATAAATCCTAATAATGCTACTGCTATTATTACTGATGATGGTGGTAGTTTGCTGTTGCCAAACTGGGAGAATAATAGATTTTGTTTGAATATTTCAGGGTTAAAACCTGTCATTAACACTGAACACAATCTGATCTGTTTTAGGGCATTTATATGGGATGGCTAACTGCTTGTGGAAGTGGTGGACGTATTCTGGGCCCGGTGTTTGTCAGTCAACTCTACAGTTCCTTAGGACCCCGCTGGGCATTTGGTTTCATCTGTGGAATTGTTGTTCTTTCTCTCTTACTACTTGAAGTGGTGTACAAGAGACTTATTGCATTTTCAGTCAGATATGAGATGCTACAAGAACAGATTTCCTAGCTATCTGTTCTGTCTTGTTTTGCTTTAATCATTATTTGCTGTTTTCAATATTTTGCATCTTTGAAAGATGTATATAATTATCATTCATCAGGACAGACAGTATTTCTGCCACCAGATTTATATCATTTTAATACTGGAAATGACAAACTGTGATACAATAGATGTTATTATTTTGGAGTATAGTTTTAAGAGATGGCACTAGTTCTAATTATATACACTGGATATATTTAAAATACATTGATTCTGTGAATCATGTCTTAAATTAAGTTTTTTAAACTGAATTTAAAAAGGGTATTTATTCTAACAAGATTTTATGAGCATGATTATTTATGCATTTTTATAATTGGTTGGCTTTTTTAAATTGAATGTATTTTAAGTAAAATATAGCAGAAACTAATCCTGATATTTTGTTGCACATATTTTGGAATTTATAATTTTAAAAAATGGTTCAAATAAGATCAAGATTCAAAGTAAAAATAAAGAATGTTGATGCAGCACTTGTAATAAAGATAAGTACTGAAACTGATAGTAGATTTAATAACTGGAGGCTACTGAGGTAGATATCTGAGGTTTCTACCATTACACCAAGAATCTTAATCACTGCTTTCCTGAACGGTAACACCCAAAGGTGCTTTTTCACAAGGCAACTAGACTTTCTTGTTTTTCTTTGAAGACATTTAGCTTCTCATCCAAGAAGCTTCTTCAGCTCAAAGAAAAGCAAAGTCGTTGCCTCATGAAAAAGCAGCTTTGTGATAACTATGGCCTGGATGTCTGAGAATCTCCATAGACACTGAATAGTAAAACTTTAACCTATTGTGAAATACACATTAAACTGAAAAAAAAAACTTTAAATAGTAATTGCCCAGTACTGTAGTTACCTTCCCCCCCCCAATTGTGGAACAGTCTAACCAAATTAATTTTAGATTTGGTTTTCTTAAAAATTCGAACTTTTTCATCCCAAAGTTATCTTGCACAGTTCCATGTCTCATAAACAGGACTTCCAGATTGCAAATCAGAAGTTTGGTGATGTCAGATGTTGCTGAGACTCGGGAGAAATGGAGGCAGTGCACCCCTGGTGATGTCACGGAAGCGGGGTTCTGGTTGCGTAGCACAGCCTTTCATTTATTTGGGGATCACTTACATGACATGTTTGTTAACAAGATTTTGGATAGAGATATAGAAAATGGTGAATTCGTAAATTGTTTTGTGCTTGAGATAGCTGGAATCAGTTGATTGTTTTCCTAAATGAAATGAGTTTCATTCTGAAATAAAATGAAATACTGTAGGGCTGTCTGTTTCCAACTAAATAGTAAAGTGTGGATATCTGGGCTGAAATGTTTGATGGAAAGGTAATGAGAATCGGGAAAAGTCAAAGATAGCAATGGTAGATCAGGAAAATAATAGGAAGGGAAGGAAAATATTTAAGAATATGTGTATCTGAAATTTGAAAAATCATTTTCCATTCCATGCACACCTATGGTTTTTTTGTTTCTGTTCATCTCTAAGTCAAAGCAAAATCAAATCAAATAAAATACATAAAAGTCTTTATAGTCTTGTGTTCTATATATAACATACATGCATATATTCTCATGTCCACATTTTTTTCACTGAACTGTAATGAAAGTTGTCTACCAATAGCAAACAATGTAAAAACCAGAACTGTACAATATTTCAGGTTTCGTCTCCAATATATGTTTTGCAACATTTTAGAGCAGCTGTTATCCTGGAAAAAGGTGGGATTACTTCAAAATATAACATATAATTACTATTATAGTGCTTTCTTCCACTCTGAAGCACCATGGAGATTGAAACTAAAGCACTGTATAACCCTGGTAAACATTCCTTAAGAAACCACTTAAGTTTTTCCTGTTATTCATTTTTCAATTTTTGAAACAATGTATTTTACAACGATCTTCACAAAAAAGACAATTGAGAGTACTTATGAAGGTCCTCATGCTTCGTTTTCACATGGTTAAACATTTTTTTAGAAAAAATGGCAATCTTGTCTGATGTCATGAAATATGCTGTGCTGCTTCCTCAATACCATAGGATATCCTTGTTTATATATATATAATTGTTTCTATTATATGTGATGTCTATTTATTGATCAGTTAAATATAATATAGACCCAAACAAGTAAATAGTGTCACATAGCTGCTAGGTAATAAAATCATAAGGGTCTGTGATGAAATTTGCCTAATTTATGGTTTCTTCTCTGACCTGCTTTCTCCTTATTTTGAAACTTGCAATTGAGACCCAGATTATTGTTTTCTCCACAATTCTTTCAGTGCTATAAGAGGGGGTTTCTTTTGTTAGCGTTGTTTGCTTTTTTCATATTACCTTTTACTTCCAATGCAAAGAAAGACAAATACTACTGTTGGCTCAATAACTTTTTTTTTTTACTATATTAATTTTACTATTCCTGTTTGAACTTTCAATTTCCCTTTAAACTAAAATACAAACCTAGAGATAGTTTCTAGAACAGAGGTCCCCAGCCTTTTGGGCACCAGGGACTGGTTCCGTGGAGAAAGGTTTTTCCATGGACCAGAGAGTGCGTGGTTTTGTGTGCTGCCTATATGCCACGGATGGGGCTTTGCTTGTTTGTGCGGACCGGTTGCTGGCATGCTGTGGCCTGGTATCAGTCTACGGACCAGGGGTGGGGATCCCTGTTCTAGAACACTCCCAGGAATGTTTCTGCCACATTAGGTTTCTTTCCCAAATTTAATACGACACTAGAACCATTAAATAAACTTGTTACTTGGAGTGCATGCAAGTGTACAAAACGTATGGATTCTACTGTAGATTAGAGTTTTATTAGTAAACTAGTATCACCGTGCATACCTAGACATTTGTGTTAAATAAATCAAGGGATCTAAATTATCACTGCATTTATTTTTTAACACTTTTGCAGGGATATTTCATTAAAAAGTTACAAAAATATAAAACAATCATAAAACAATACTTTTCATATCTGAAAATAGCATAAAATACAAAATATTTACAGGCATATATTGCAATAGCGGGGTTTTTTTTCTTGAGAGCTGCGATAACAGAACATGCACATATATACATTTGTGGGGGGGGGGGGAAATCAAGATGGTTACAGGATTCTCTTTAAATTACATGAAATGCAAGTAATTTTGCTTTAATGTTTTAAAAGGGGAACACTTATACATCAATTCCAGTCAAGAAAAAACAGTCTGGATTTTTTTGAGGAAAGTTTACTACTGTGAGTATAAAAAGAATTTATTACCAATGAGTTATTTAAATTTGTCATATGCAGTTTGTCAGTGGGGGCCAACTGGATTGGTAAACATTACCAGAATGGAAGATAGACAATGCAACTTTTCTTTGATGAATTCTGGCAATTTCTCATCTTCTCTATACCTAAGAAAACACACAAGATACCAATATTCCAATTTTAATGTTGGGATGCACTTTTTATTTTACATCATTCCAGTATGTAAGAGAAGCAATCTTACAGTAAGAAAGAACTGCACTGAATACTTGGGAAGAAACCAAAATCATAATGAGCTCTGCTGTAATTTTTTTTTGGGGGGGGGGCAGAGGGGCTAGGTTTTAGTTCTCAAAACTATATTAAATTGTAGTGCAAACCTAAAATTGTTTGACAATGGATCTCCAACTATGTTTCTGTGCAATGGAGGGGTAATCTATAGTGATCCTTGGCTATAAAATGGTCCTTGGCTATAAAATGGCTGGAGATCTCTGAAGCACAAGAAACTCTCTATAATATTCTGAGGCACTGAAGAGAATTTAAGAAAGCTGATATTAATCCACCCATGAATAACTTGTGGAAGCAGGACCTTCATTTATGAGGCAGAGTTAACCAGGAATTAATTACTCACGTATCTAAAGGTTAAAAAGTTTCCATTCCTGATCTTGCTAGGTGATGATAATTTCTAATTCATTCAAATTATTTAAAATGGATAAACAATAATTGAGCCAGACAATACTGGATTTTGTGAACGTATATGAAGGATAAACTCCTGAAATGACAACTATGGTGATGGGCGTAACCAATTACTAAGAACTCATTTGTGAACTAGCCTCATAGGCTATTGTCTCCTGAAGTACCTTTCTGGAGCCCCTAAAGCATTCTCCCACTAAATATGATGAAAGCTGGTACTTTGCTTTGCAGCAGGCAAGCTTTCTAATTTTGTTTTATGAAAAGTCATTTTTAAAAAAATCGGAGGTTCAAAGAGGGACAAACTGGAGTCCACAAACATTCATCACTTGGAGTAAATGTTCTGATTAGGGCTATTATCTCATTAACAAATGAAACTAATGGCCTAGTAATTTAAACCACAGTTTAAGGACAAAGCTAAGATATTTAAAAAAATGAACATCAATTGTATGCTATGATTGTACTTTGCATATATAGAGCAAAAATTAGTCAACCACTTATAACCTACATTGTGGACCTAATGTGTGGTTACTGTATAGTACAAATTAAAATAGGATTGAGTATTAAATCATAGTTACGTTAGCTATAGATAGATTGCAATTTTTTCACATTTCTCTTACATAAATATATTTTAAATACTGGAAGTTCCTAAAATTAATTCGTCAACTGCTGTTTTGAGACGTCAGGAGTTTTCATCATTTAGTGTTAAAACAAAACCACTAGATGAATTTGCACACAATTGCAGAACATGTGGTTTCTGCATAAGTGCATATGCATATCCAGCTGCCACCCCCAAGGAAAGGCAGGAGAAGTCAACAAAAATTTAGTTAGTTTCACTAGCAGATTCCTATTTTGCCATTATACACAAATCAGGAATTGTGATTTTAAATAAGTTAGTTTGTCTAAGAATTAAGAGTTTAAGAATTTTGAGTTAGAGTTATTATAGTTTACTTTAATTACATTTGCTGGTCTATTATAAATCAGTCTTCATATATTGTTTCAGTTCAATAATTCCAATTGAAAACATGCAAAAAAAAGAATTCATTTCAAGTCACATTTCAACACAGGCCTACTAATGGGTTATATTTTATGTTCTCTGTTTTCCTAGTCTTTTCATGAAAATGATTTCAGAACATGAATTATCCTATCAGAGGATTGTCCATTCATTTATAAAATGTTCAGATGAAAACACTGAAGCAGACTGGCTTACAGCATAATATGAACTTGTAAAAACATGGCTCCATTACTCTTGGAAGACATTCATGTGCTATGCTTCCAAAGATGGCTTAATTACTTTTTTCAACTTGGCCTCTGAGTTAGTTCAGTGTTAAAGGAGAAGCAAGATCAAAATTACATGATTTAGGGCAATATAGATATAATTTTCCTTTTAAAAATTTAATCATGATGATATTGAAAAATATAATTTGGCATTTGAATAATTTGACATTTAAATTTTAGTTTCAGTTATTTAGTTATTGTTTAGTGGTTTTCCTATTTTTATTGTTTTTAGGGGGTTCCTCTTTTTCTCTCTTAATTTTAGTTCAGATTATTTGTTAAACATATTATATAATAGTTTTTTCTCTAAAAGGATCTGTTATATTAGTAATATTGTTATAAAGTTGATAGCATGGAATGCCTTTTAAGAAATTTTAATTATGTTTAAAAATAATGTAAATGTAGCAGTACAAGATAGTTGAATTGATGAAAAACAAATGGAGAAAGTAACAAAATATGAGATGTCGCAAACTGAAATTTTAATATTTATTTATTTTTAATCAAAATTGTCACACTGACTTTGCAAAAAATCATTGCTTGGAACTTCCCACATACTAAAATCTCCAGTCCCACGTTCTTGCTTAGAAATCAAATGAGAAAATATAAAGTCTAGAGCAGTGATGGCGAACCTTTTAGAGACCGAGTGCCCAAACTGCAACCCAAAACCCACTTATGCATTGTCGGGTGGCGGGAGGGTGTGGCCCATTGGGTGGGCATGGCTGCGGTGGTAACAGCAGACTGGGTGGGACTAAAAAGTTCAATCAATCAATTCCAACTTTGCAAGATCTTTTTTTTCCCCGCGAGAAGTTGAAATTGACTGATTGATTGAACCTTTTTTTTTTTGTACACGGTGGTGGAGGCCTAAAGCGAAAAGGTTTTATAAAACCAAGCTGAAGGCCTAGGACTGGGGCGACGGCGCGCGTGCCCACAGAGAGGGCTCTGAGAGCCGCCTCTGGCACCCGTGCCATAGGTTCACCACCACTGGTCTAGAGACTGATATTTATTAAAGGATCTTGTTATTAGTAATAACAAGACTGATACATACCTAACTGTGTCACCAGCTGGAGATGTGTAAGTAATAGAGGAAACACCAGCCTGAGCAACCAATTGGGATCCATCATTAAATTGAACCCATACTGCCCCACTTGTCAACTAGTAGAAAAGATAAAGATTATTTCACATACGGAAGTCTATAAAATAGCTTCTTTACCTAGTCACTCAACAAGAATTGTTTATCAAAAAATGATCCCACATTGTAAAGCCATTACTTCTTATTAAAATAGTTTCAT